GGGCAGGGGCAGAGGCAGAGGCAGGGGCAGGGGCAGGGGCAGGGGCAGGGGCAGAGGCAGAGGCAGGGGCAGGGGCAGAGGGAGAGGCAGGGCCAGGGCCAGAGCCAGGGCCAGAGCAAGGGCTTGCGGGCAGGGGCAGGGGCAGGACCTGCGGGCAGGGGCAGGGCCAGGTACAGGGCCAGGGCCAATGCCAGGGAAGCGCAGTCCCGCTTCCCACTTGTCCGCACCCACTGCCATCTCAGATCCTCAGCCACTTCTGGGAAAGGAAGGCGGAGAGAAAGTGGTCAAGGCTGCTTAACAGCAAACCGCCCTCTTCTCCTTCCTTTTCCTTCTTCGCCATTCTCGCCTCGGCAGCCACACCATCTTGGCGCCAATGTCTTCCTTCTCAGGGGACGCGAGACCCTCAGCCAGAAGCCGCAGGAGGCCTGGGATGACGCTCCCGGGAAGGGTGTCTGCCCGCTGAGGCCTTCGGCCCTGCACGTCCCAGCCCAGGTGGAGCTGCAGTCCGGGTGTGAGCTGCTCGCACACATGGGTCCCTGCTCCCTGCAAACCCTGCACACGGGCGCCCCCTGCCCCAGGTTACCCAGTGCACCTTTCCCCAACACCGCCCACACCTGAGAGTGTCAGAATGGGCGTCGCAGGCAGCGCCTCCTCCAGGGAGCCTTCCCCAACGCCCTGGTCCTGCTCCCCTGCCCCCCTCTGCGGGCTCCGTGCTCATTTATGCAGAGGCAGGACCATCCGCTGCTCCTCCTGGGCCCACGGCGCAGAGCAGGCCTTTTGAGGGTCTTGACTATGTCTCATTTAACTTGTATCTTTATTTACTGAATGAATGAATGACTAAGTTATGAATAAAAGTGGAAAATATCCACTGAGTATTATATTTCGGGAATTGCACAAGATACTTTTAAATGGTACCTCACTAACCATTTCTCGTATTCTAATGAGGGAAATATTAGTATTCTTATCGGTAAGCAAGGAGCTAACTCACCCACAGACCTATTATAGTAGCTGGTAAGCCAGGGTTCAAAAGCTAATGTCTATTCCTACAGGCCTTGTCCTCTTACTACATTGTGCTTCAGTGGAAAGAAAAGGGGTGCACGCCTATGAAGGCCTTGTTTTCACGGGAAAGGTGCACGGGAACACAGATAGGTAAAGGAAAGCCGAGGGTGCAAGGGGCCTTGGAAGGAGTGAGAGCAAGGGGAGTCTGGGGGTCTGTATGTTGGCGGGAGTGTCCCTGGGTGGCACACCCTGCGGGGCCACCCGACACTTCCCTGCTCGGCTGTGAGGGCAGGAGGCAGGGCCTGGAGGAAGGCCACCGCCTCCCACAAAAGCCCTGAGAACCACTCTCCCAGGACTGAGTGCTCCGGGGCCCCGTGAGGCAGCTCCACAGGGCGGGGCGGGCGATGCAGGAACTCCCCTGGAGCTGGGGATTTCCACCACAGAGTCAGGTCTAGGCACCCAAAAGCAAAACTAAGTCGGGGGATGCCCTACCCAGAAAGCATCTGGATTCCGAGAAGCAGTGTCCCTTCAAGTAACAAAAATAACAGCCCTGGACTCTGACCTCTGCCCTTCCCCTCTGCCTGTCCTCTGTGAACGTCCCTCCCAGCCCAGAGCCAGGGCGAGGGCTACCCCAGGTCCTGTGCCCTCTGCTCCCCACAGCCAGGCTCTCTCCTGGGGGCCTCACCTCCTCCTGGCTTCTGACCACACATTCCACCTTCCCTGTCCGTGTCACAGTAGATCGTTTCACAAGCAGAAAGATGTCTTTTGATTGGCCCCTCTAACAGACTCAGAAAGCCAGCCGCGGTCAAACACTGTGCTGTGAATAGCCTGCCAGGCTGTAACACAAAGGCCAGCTGTCCGCACGCCTCTCCGCCTGGCCCTGGCTGGTGGGGAGACATGGGACTGCTCGCTGCCCCCACCGAGCCTTCCCTGGGCCAGCAGCTCTTTCCCATCTCTCTACCAACATCCATGAAAGACTTTGTAAAACTACTTTGAGATCTAGAATATTGCTTCAGAAAGGCACACCAATTTCAATCAAAATGCTACTGTGAATTCTCATTTATTGATGGTTGTTGGGGGTGGGGGGTGCTTGCTGGGGGAGGAGACTTGTCCACTCTCAGAGGACAATTTTGCAGGACCCATCAAAATTAAAAACAGATATGCCACACTAAAACAACCCAAACGCCTTTAATTATAGGGAAATACATAACTAAATTAAAGAATATCACTGCAGCCCTAGCTGGTTTGGCTCAGTGGATAGAGCGCCGGCCTGCGGACTGGAGGGTCCCGGGTTCGGTTCCGGTCAAGGGCATGTGCCTTGGTTGCGGGCACGTCCCCAGTGGGGGGTGTGCGGGAGGCAGCTGATCGATGTTTCTCTCTCGTCGATGTTTCTAACTCTCTATCCCTCTCCCTTCCTCTCTATAAAAAAATCAATAAAATGTATATTTAAAAAAAAAAGAAAAAAAAGAATATCACTGCAATTGATACAATAGATGGATTATACCTGCAATAGGGATCACTATGCTAGAAACCTATATCCTATATAATATGAGAGAAACATGCAAATTAACCGTCCCTCCACCCCAAAATGGCTGCACCCACAGCTGAAGCCGAGTTCCCATAATGAGCCTTAAGGAGCAATCAGTAGGGACCTGCTGCTGTGCCCTCCCACCGAGCAGGGCTTGACAGGGACCTCAGGCCACACCGCCTGCCCTGGCACTGGGCCAGGGGACCTGAGGCTGTGCCCCCCACCCAGTGGGGCTTGACAGGGGTGGGACCGGCCAGGTCTGGATCTAGCCCAATGAGGGGGGGCTGGCTGGGTCTGGATCTCGCACAATTTCGAGGCACACATGGGTGGGTGGGGACTTGACTCTGGGTCCCATGGAGCACCTCAGACTCTGACAGGAGGAAGATTTTCATATACATTTTACTAATTTTCTTTCATCTCTGACACTTCTATTATAAAGAAAGGGCAAATAGCAATATTAAAATATTTCCTCTAATTAATCCCCTTTTAATGTTCACAAATTTCGTGCACCGGGCCACTAGTCTATATATAAAAACCAAAGGGACCAACCAGTCGACCGGTCAATCGGTCGCTATGATGCGCACTTACCACCAGAGGGCAGAGGCTCAACACAGGAGCTGCCCCCTGGTGGTCAGGGAGCTCCCACAGCGGGAGTGCCGCTCAGCTGACTGGCCTGTCCCAGTGGCCCACCAGCCTGGCAGCAGCCACTCACTCCCTCAGCAGTCCTGCAGGTCCAATCTTCAGAGAACAAGCCAGGCAGAGGGACCTGGCGCCACCGGTCTGACCAGGGCCACTTCCCCTTCGTAGATGCTCCACAAGGAAGAGAG